CGACGATCACGACGACGACGACGACGACGACGACGACGTCGACGACGACGACGACGATCACGACGACGACTACGACGACGACGACGACGACGACGACGACGACGACGACGACGACGACGATCGCGACGACGACGATCGCGACGGCGGCGGCGGCGGCTGCGACGACGGAGAGGGTCACGGTGCGCTCCTGGTCGAGGCGCTGGGCGAGAGCAGTCAGCCCGGCGGCCCCGTGCCTCTTCCGGGGAGCGGGAGGAGCGCGCGGTGGCTTTGGGCTGCAGACGGGACCTTCGGATCTTTGGCTTCGCTTTGGGCGCGCGGGAGGAGGGGAAGGGGGCGAGGAAGAGGAGGAGGTTCCCTAAGGGCTTGTCGGCTTTTCGCCAAGCGACTTGTGGGAATCGAGCCAGATACATCCAGGTAAATGCAGATAAATCTAGATGAATCCAGGTCAATCCAGGTCAATCGAGATAAATCCGGGGAAATCCAGGTAAATCCAGAGATCTCCAGGGAAGGTTGGAGCAACTCGCGGCCGCTCTAGCGCGAGTGGAAGGACGGCAGAACTCGTTAAGCCCTTAACGAGGAGGTGGAGCGGGGCGCTGCGGCTTTAAAACGAGGACCCAGCGTACGGGAGCGTTGGCAGGCACCGAGGGGTCCAGGGTCGTCCGCCAGTGCCGGCACCTGAGGGCCGACCAGAAAATAAGGAGTCGATGCGCATATCAGACATGTCAAGTAAGGTTCACAGCGCCGTGCGTCGTTCCCTACTGCATGGGGCCGGCAGCACATGCTGTGTCAGAGGTGAACTCTGTCGAGCTGGCGGCATGCGCGCCCTGACTGTCATGTTAGGCGCTCTGAGCCGTCTTAGGCGCTCTGAGGTCCGTCTTGGGAGCCGTCTTCATTCTAAAGCGTTGTCCTCACTTGGTTGACGCGTCGAGAGCAAATTGCTGTTCTTGTTAGCTCTCGCTGCGCCGGGAACGTCTGGACCTACGTTTCTCGCGAAGCAGTGCATTAGCACCGGGGCCGACCTCGCTTGGTTGACGCGTCGAGAGCAAGTGGCTGTTCCTGTTGGCTCTCGCCGCGGCGGGGACGAAGCGGTGCATGAGTACCATGGCCAGGTCGGCACCTGGCAGAGCGTTCTGCTGCCGACCTGCTCCTCCTCCTTCTCCTCCTCCTCCTCCTCCTCCCTTTCCTCCTCGTCCTCCTCCTCCTCCTCCTCCTCCTCCTCCTCCTCCTCCTCCTCCTCCTCCTCCTCCTCCTCTTCCCCCCAGGACCAGTGATGGCCGAGCTGCTTCCGTAAGAGGGCAGGTGGCACCGTCGACCCGAAGACGGGCTCGATGTTGCCGCTGCGATGACTCGGGGAGGCCCTCCTCTCCGTTCCTCGAGCCCCCCCGAGCCCTGTGAGATCGAGCGCAGTGCGCATTCAATGCCAAGCCAGTTCCATGTGAAGTGATGCATCGCATCGCAAATCAAGGCAAAGCAGTTCGTTGGAATGCAGATCGATGCAGTCCAAGATATCGCGCATAATTAGGAAGTCAAAACGACCAAACACAAAGTAGTGCACACGCACTGCAAAGGCATGGACGTCACAGTCTGTCTCTCATCGCGTTGGTCCAAGGCGTGTGGCCCGAGGACAGATTCCCTTGCACAAGCACTTGCAAATGGGTAGCATGCGCCGACAGGCATCGAGTTCCTCATCGTGTACAGTGACAGTCGAGTCGGATAGCGATGTAGACGTGGAGAGTTTGGGCGGTGGGGAGGCTGCGTGCAGAAATAGCGCTCGCACCATGGCTCTGGTGTTCTTTGTGCTCGGCGCGGGCTTAGAACTGCCTTACCAGGCTCTCATCTTAGCAGTTGATTTCTTCAAGGATCATTACGACGGCGGGATTGTGTACAGTGTGACCGTCGCTTTCGACCCGACAGCGTTGCTCACCCTGGTCCTCTTGATGAAGGGCCTCGACGCCTGGCTGTGCTCGCGGCATTTGCGCTGTGCGGTGGTTTTCGTGTTCGAGGCCTTTCTGCTCATGTGCATCCACGCGTTGCCACGCTTCAAGCTCATTGCGTTGCCAGCCACGCTCGCTTGCGTCAGCGCCATCGGTGTGGGCACAGCTCTGCAGCACTTCAGCGTTTTTGGCTTCGCCGCGGAGAGTTACCCTCGTTGCGTCGCTTCACTTTCATCGGGCCTCAACTTCTCTGGCGTCATAGCATCTTTCATCCGCTTGGCTACAAAGTTGCTGGACACAGGGCACTTCGGCCACGACATCGATCTTGAGGGCGCGTACTTCGGGTTCACTGCAATGTGGTGCTTGGCTTGCGCCGCCATCGTGTTTGGGATCTCGCCGCCGCTTGATGCTTGGAGCTGTTGCTGTTTACAAGAGGATAATGATTCTACAGGCTTGCGCCACATCCGCTGGGTTAGTTGGTCAGTTGTTTGTATCACGTTGGATGCCATGTTGGGCGTTTTCGACCCCTCGTAAGCGTCTGTGAGGCCATCATCGACTCACTCGGGCCCGTCTTGGCGCACTCATTGGGGCCGCTGGGCCCGATTTGGGCTCTTCGAGGTTGTCAGAAGCCTGCGCTGGAGGGAGAGCCAATGTCATTGGCTAGCCCAGTGCGTAGCAATGCTTTGGGCTTCCCGCGGGCATTTCTGTAGGTCTTCCAGTAGCAACTTTGAGCGTGCTTGGAGCCTACTGGGCTTCTCAGGTCGCATCGGGAGTCGCTTTGGGGCTAGAGGCGGTCGCTTGACATTCTCGACATCGCGAGTCCGAAGCCAGCGACATTGGGAAGGTCTTACGGACGGTGCCGCTGACCCTGAAGGTGGACGACGACGACGACGACGACGCTGACGCTTTGGAGCCCTCCTTGGGGCTCCCTTGGGAGCCTATCGGGCTCTACAGTGAGCGGCTTGTATAAGGAACGCTTACTTTTCAAAAGGGGCTCGGTCGTTCCTTAGGCTTGCATGCGTTATTTATCGTTCCCTATGCGTTATGCATTATTTGCTCATCGTTCCCTATGCGTTATTCCTTGGAAGAAAGGGGCTTCGTTCCTTATTTATCTTTCCTTAGGTCAGGCCGATGACTGTATTGGGGGGCCTCTTGGGGGACTTCTTGGGGAGCTCCGTGGCCACTGCCTGCTTTCCCCCTGTCCACCAGAAGACTACACCCCCGTCCCCCTTGTCCTCCCGGAGTCGCCCGGGGGGGGGGGGGGGGGTCGGCGACCTGCCTCGGGGGCCCCCTGGGACCCCCTCGCCGACCCCCCCCCCACGGAAGGGAAGAAGGGATCAAAGGGGAAGGGGCCTCCCTTCCACTCAACTACGGCGTTGTCTGGTATTTGGCCCCGTCGGGCTCTCCGCCGGGCGGCCCGGCAGGAGTCCGGGCTGAGCCTCGGGCCGCCCCGGGGTGTCATCCACGCTGGCGGGGGGCTGCGTGCACGACTCCGAAAGGCCTCCTGCCCACCCCGCCACCGCGACGGGAGTCCGAGCCTGAGACGTACAGTCGGGCTTGATTGGAGAGGACACGCGAGAGGACACAAGACCCTTCCGAAGGCCACATCGCCACAGGAGTAGTGCAAGAAGGCACGCGTCGCGAGGCACAGGGCACAAGGGTACCCTTGAGCTGGCAGGGTCGACCTGCGAACCCGGGCCGACTGTATTGGGTAAATGCCAGGTGTATGTTGGGATGCCTCTCGGGGGGGCCCCTTGGAGGTGTCTTGGGGGCCTCTTGGGGAGATTTAGGAGACCTTTTGGGGGAGCCTCTTAGGCCAGCCAGGGAGCTAAGATGCTCCTCCTTCTCCTTCTCCTTCTCTTTCTCCTCCTCCTCCTCCTCCTCCTCCTCCTCCTCCTCCTCCTCATCATCATCATCATCATCATCATCATCATCATCATTATCAGCTTCATCATCATCATCATCATCATCATCATCATCATCATCATCATCATCATCATCATCATCATCATCGTCATCATCATCATCATCATCACAGCAATCATCATCATCATCATCATCATCCCCCTTCTCCCCCTCCACCCTTCCCCCTCCTCCTGCTCGTCATCCTCCTCCTCCTCCTCTCCCTCCTGGGCCTCTGGGGGACCTCTTGGGTTGGGGGCGCCTCGTGAGCCTCCGGGAGGCTCTTGGGGCAATCTTGGGGCCGAAGGTTCGACAGGTCCGCTCGGGTCCACCATCTGGGCCTCCTCTTGGGGCCGTCCTCCTCCTCCTCCTCCTCCCCCTTCCTCCTCCTCCTCCTCCTCCTCCTCCTCCTCCTCCCCCTCCTCCCTATCCTCCTCCTCCTCCTCCTCCTCCTCCCTCCTCCTCCCTCCTCCTCCTCCTCCTCCTCCTCCTCCTGCCGTGTTCTCCTCCGTCGGGGCCGTTAGGGCCGTCTTGACGTTCTCTTGGGCCGTCTTGGGCGCCTCTTGGGCCGTCTTGGCGCCCCTCGGGGCCGTCTTGGGGCCCACCTGGAGTCCTCGTGGGCCATCTCGGAGTGATCTCGGGGGCCTCGTGGGCAGTCTTGGAGCATCGGGACTCTCAAGAGGCAAGAACCCCAACATCTGTCAGAAGCCATACGGCAATCATTGATGTCTGCCTCTATGGCCCTGGTCCCTTTGGGGAAGCCTCTTGGAGGTTTCTCGGGGCGCCTTGGGAGCATCTTCGATCGTCTTGCTCCTCCTCCTCCTCCTCCTCCTCCTCCTCCTCCTCCTCCTCCTCCTCCTCCTCCTCCTCTCCTGGGGCCAACTCTCGGCGAGCGGGAGCCCTCTTGGGCTGTCTTGGGGGCCTCCGGGAGCTCTCGTGGCCCATCTCGAGGCCGCTGCGGGCCCGAAGAAGGCCCAGGTGAGCCCGGCCCGGGGCGAGCCCTCAAACTTCCATCTGGGACCTCCTCCTCCTCCTCCTCCTCCTCCTCCTCCTCCTCCTCCTCCTCCTCCTCCTCCCCACTCCTCGGTGGGGCGGGGGGGGGGACTGCAGGGGGGGAAGAATCTCACACGCCTCGAGACCCCAAAAGGGGTCGGCGGATAGTCCAGCAGCTCAGCAGGGTCAGAGCGTCTTGGACACGGTCTGGTGGCACTTCTGGCTGACCGTCGCGTCCCTTACGACGACCTACGCGGCCGTCCCAGGATTGTGCTCCAGCTTGGAGTCCAGCTTTCAGCTCTTGCAGCGCGACGAGTGGTTCTCTGTGTTGTTGGTCTGTGAGTTTACCTTGGCCAACTTCCTCGGCTCCTTTGGCCCCGCAGTGCCGGGCGGCCTCAGCAGGCTACGGGCTCGGCTCTGGACGCTCGTGAGCCTGCCAGTCCGCGCGAGCGGCGTGGGCCTGCTGGCGGTCCTTGCGAACGCGCGCGCTCGCTGGCCCCTGGACTGGGTCCCCCACCTGCTGCTCAGCACCCTGGGCCTCTCGAGCGGCTACCTCGTGGCGCAGGCCGCAGAGGTCCGGGGGTTGCACGCCAGGGGGAGGTGGGCTCTCGAGGGCGGAAGCGCCGCCCTCCAATCGCTCACTGCTTATCCTCCTCCTCCTCCTCCTCCTCCTCCTCCTCCTCCTCCCTCCTCCCTCCTCCTCCTCCTCCTCCTCCTCCTCCTCCTCCCCCTCCCCCTCCCCCTCCCCCCTCCCCTCCCTCCTCCCCCTCCCCCTCCTCCTCCGTCCTCCTCCTGGCCCCTCCTCCTCCTCTCCTCCTCCTCCTCCTCCTCCTCCTCCTCCTCCTCCTCCTCCTCCCCCTCCCCCTCCTCCTCCTCCTCCTCCTCCTCCTCCTTCCTCCTCCTCCTCCTCCTCCTCCTCCTCCTCCTCCTCCTCCTCCTCCTCCTCCTCCTCCTCCTCCTCCTCCTCCTCCTCCCCCTCCCCCTCCTCCTCCTCCGCCTGCCCAGGGAACGCGGGGGCTCGACCCCTGCGGCCCGCCGCCGATCGATCGGTGCTGTGTCGCCCACTCCGGGCCGGCGCTTCCCCCGCCGAGCCGGCTCCCCCTGCCGTGGGTCCTCGAGAGGGCGCCACGGAGGTCGTGGAGGAGAAGGACCGCAAGCGGGCCGGCGAGCTGCTCAGCCTCGCCTTCAGCGTGGGCATCGCGGCGGGCACCTCGCTGGCGTTCCTGGGAGAGAAGCTGGGCGCCGTGCCCGCCTGACGCGCCGCCCGCACGCCGCCCGCGATCCGGCTGTCTTGCTCCGCGTGTCGCGCCGCCAGTTCGGGCCCACCGCGCTCGGCGCGGCTCGCGATCCGTGCCAGAGTTCCCCAGCGTCGCTGGCACGAGCTGTTCCCAGCCTCCCGTGCCTCCCAACCCACGCAGCGGAGCGACACGCTGTCCGCTAGCAGGGCACAGCGCGTCGCCGGGGCCGCCGCCGCGACACGCTGTGCAAGCGTTCCTGACCGTCGAGCCTGGCACTTGAGTCTGGTCCGCTCTTCGTTGTCCTTGGTGGCGCATGTCGGCAAAACGCTGGCACCCGCAACGCGCAGTCGTGAGCTGTGGTGTTTTCTCCGAGTCAGGCCCGAACCCTGAATGGCGAATCTGTCAACGCCGATGCCGTCCGACCTGCGGCTTTCTCTTTCCCTCCTCTTATGTTCGCCTTCCTCAATCGGCCACTGCTGCGCCTGGACAGTTTCATCGAGGCTCCGATTGTTCGGCCCTCAGCCTGAGGTCGCTACGTGTCGGAGGGATCACCATCCTTGGTTAAGGACTTCGACAGCGACAGTAGTCTACATGGCTCAGTCACAATCTTGTCAGCTACATTGACTATTCTAGAACTTCGGCAGTGGCCAAATGTTCCGCGACGTCTGATGCTATCACTTCTATTGAGTTGTGCGCATAAGGCTATATCATTGTGCACATAGGCTGCACCACATAGATTGCACCAAGTAGTTTGTACCGTATAGATTGCACAACATGGATTGCACCGTATAGTAGATTTTTAAAGCACTGTTTGGGGTCCACGCTGGCCACCATGTTTTGAGAGTTTTCAGCATGTTTGGTCTGGGGCCTTCTTGGAGTCGAGGAAACACAACACGGCATACACACAAACCTTCGGAGCTCCGCGCGGATCTCTTGGATCGGCGCCTGGGCCCCCCCTGGCGGCGCCTCCGGCGCCAGTTCTCGACGTCGCGAGGCCGAACCCAGGCCCCGTCGGGTTTCAGCCGGACGGCCCGGTTGGAGTTTTGGCTGAGCCTCGGGCGCCCCCTGGTCATGCACGCTTGCGGCGGGCTACGTGCATGATATCTACAGGCCTTCCGTCCATCCCGCCGTCGCGACCGGAATCCGAGCCTGAGACGTGTTGGGCGAATGCCAGGAGCATGTTGGGATGCCTCTCGGGGGCCCCTTGGAGGCATCTTGGGGTCGTCTTGGGAGCACTCCGGGGGCCTCTCTTGGGAGCCTCCTGGGTGTTCACAGGAGTGCGGCGCTGGATCAGGCCACGGGCGCCATATTCGGGCTGGCACAGCTACAACGGGGGACCGGGCCCGGGGGCCCCGGGGCCGCGACCCCGACCTCAAATGGGGGGAAACAGGGGCCTGGCCTGCCCGGTGGGGGGTCCCAGCATCGCCTCTGACAGCCATTGGACTGCCGCTGCGGCGGCCAAAGACGGTCCCGAGTCGCATCCACGACGCCCCGCAGGGACCTCCGACGGTTCAAGATGTTTTTCAAAGGGCCACGCTTCAAGACCGCTCCAAGAGGAGCCCCAAGAGGGTCCTGAGAAGCAACAGCTACCCCATTCCCTCAGGACCACGTGCATGTTTAGCATCTTTGCTGTTTCTGGTTTCAACACGGTCCCAGACGACCCGAGAGATCCCCCCGATCGCCCTGGGACTGCCCAAGAGGGCCCCTGGACGGCCCAGGAGCGCCCCAAGACGGGCCAGGACGCCCCGAAGACGGCCCCGAGAGGCCCCCCGCGAGGGGCCCGAGAGAGGGAGCCCCGAGCCTCGGCGGCGTCCCGCAGGAGGCCCCTGGCGGGGGCGCTCGCGCCGCCCAGCCCAGATTGGAACCCCCACAGGGGAAGCAGTTCGGATTGGCGAGGTGCTCGGCGCCGGACCCCCCCTGGCGCTCCTCCTCCTCCTCCTCCTTCCTCCTCCTCCTCCTCCTCCTCCTCCTCCTCCTCCTTCTCCTCTCCTCCTCCTCCTCCTCCTCCTCCTCCTCCTCCTCCTCCTCCTCCTCCTCCTCCTCCTCCGCCCCCCTCCTCCTCCTCCTCCTCCTCCTCCTCCTCCTCCTCCTCCTCCTCCTCCTCCTCCTGCCCCCCCGGGTCCAGGCGGAGAAGCAGCCGGCGCGACCCGCTCCAGTCCGGCCAAGCGGGGCCCCCTCGGGAGGAGTGCGGGTCGGGGCGGCGGACAAGAGGGGGGTGATGACTAGGGGGGGGGTGGCTATCATGGCGGGGGCCATGATATCTCCCCGGATTTCATGGCGCCTCTCCTTATTTCATTACGTCCCTGGCCCCCCCGCTGGGCCGCGCACATGCCGCCGGTCATGATTTGCACACACCCCTCTTGGACACCCCCCTCTTGGCCGCTCCCGAGCGGGGAGGGGCAACGATCTCACAGGCCGTCGACCCCAAGGGGTTGGCGGATTCAGTGCCACGTCCTCGGGCGGCTTGCCACACAATTGCAGCAAGCCGACGGGACTCGAGCATGCCGCCGCTGGACAAACTCCTTTGCTATTTTTGTTGTCACCCTAATCTCTCTTCTGCGTGCCACTTGCCCTGCTAGTTTTCACTCTCTCCCTCTCTCTCTCTCTCTCTTCTGACGCCCCGCAAACTTACGCGACTTCCGCAGGAGGCGATCATGGATCTGGCGCGCTCGCAGCCACCACTGTCAAGAAAGACAGCGGCTGCGCAGGTGCACACATTTCAATTATAACCTTGCCCAGATCGAATCGCTTCGCTCACTCCGCCGGCCGATTTCTAATGTCCTTCGGCCAATCTCGCCACCGTGCTTGGGTGGTGGGTCTGAGATCTGTTGGATGTTCGTCGGGATCTCGTCGAAGCCTGTCGGGGCCTTCTGGAGGTATTTCTGTGGCCTTCGGGGGGCTGTTTTGGGGGCCTCTTTGGGGCCTCTTGGTCTAGCAGTGGCGAAGCGTCCTGGCTCGCCTAAAGGCCCACTAAATAATGTTCTAAGAACCTTTGGTGGTTTCTACGAAATGTCCTTCGAACATTTCTGGCTGGGACTGTCTTGTATTAGTACATCGTCTCTATGTTCTAAGAACATTGTTTTTGTTCATAGAACATGTTGGGGGGGTCATAAGAACATGTCGTGGTAGGCCTGTAGGAATGCCAGGACGGTCGGTCCCTGCTCAACTTGGGGGCCTCTCGGGGCCTCGTGCGGGCCTCGTGCGGGCCGTCTTGGGCGCCTCTCGGGCCAGGCACAAGGCAGCTGGGGGGAGCGACGACGACGCCGAAATAAAGTGGTCGGAGCTCTAGACACCCTGTGCAAGAGAATATGAAGAGGAATATGGGGCCACGTGCCGTGCCGGGGGTGTGCCGAACCGGGCGCGAGGCCGCCACGCGGAACCTGTTGCTGGAGCCTGTGGTGGAGCTCCCTGCGGGGTCACGAACAGGGGTATGCCGAATCGTGTACGGGGCCGCCGTGCGGACCCCGCCGCTGGGACTGGGCCGTCGGTGGAGCTCCCTATGGGGCCACGAAGCGCGTCAGCGGCGTGCCGAATCGGGCGCAGGCCCGCCACGTGGACCCTTCCGCCTGGGCCTTCGGTGGAGCTCCCCATGGGGCCGGGAAGCGCGCGAGGAATGCGCAGAAACGGTGGACATGCGGAGAGCAGAGGCAGGGATGGGAGGAGGGAGGAGGCGCGGGTTAGGAGGCGGGAGGAGAACGCGGGGCGCCGTTTCTCCAAAGCGAAAAACACGCCCCTGCGACCATCATGCGCCTTCCTGGAGGTGATCGAGAGCGCGCGCGAACCCTGGTGGGCGTGTCGGGCTGGGCGGGCGGATTCTGACGGGCGGAGCGGGTCCAGTCGGGCGGGCGAGCCCTGGCGGGCGGGTCGGGCTGAGCGGGGGGGGCGTGATCGAGCGGGCACGCCAGCGCCCTAACGGGCGGGCTGGGTCGGGCGGGCGGACCCTGGCGGGCATGTCGGATCGGGCGGGGCGGGGCGTCGAATTATGGTGC